GAGAGAGAGAGAGAGGGTCATGAGGCGTTAAGGGAGGGGGGAGAGAACATTGAGTCGTGGGTGGGCGAAAGAAAGTAGTGGGGGTAGGTGTAGCGGATCCATTCATGCAACCAACGTACAGCGCGGAAGGTGCAGGCGGTGGAGAGCAAGCAGCCCAGAGCCTGATTGGCCGTTGGCGGGTGCGGACTACTGAACACTACTCCGACTACTGCGTGCTGCTGCTGCTGCTGCTGCTGCACGCCGCGTGCGTGATGGCAACGTGCCGTTGACTACTTAGCGCGAAAACAGCAGACCGCTGGGACGCCCGACCGGGGGGACACGTGGCGCGAAAGGAGCAATTTCTCTCTCGAGAGGGTGACGCCTCTTCCGATGATATTAGGACAGGTCGAGCGAAAGCCGCCTTGATTTGAGAATGTCGTCTTCGCTGCCTTCGTGGCAATCGAAATGAGCGAGCGATTCGCGATTACTTAATCCGGCCGTAAAATGGCGCAACCGGGTGCTTGACCGTGCGACGATACGCTCCGAGATACAAGAGGAGGTGACAAACACCGAAACACACTCGTATGCGGGAGTACGGGCGGGAATAATCGGATATCTTGCGCGAATTTAAATTTAGAACGGAGAGTTCCGGCTTCACATCCCGGAGCTTCAAAAGTCGTTCTTTACCCTTTTATCGGCTTAACGTCACAGTTGGTATCAGAAGACGGTATTATGTCATCGGAAAATTTATTAGGAGCTTTCAGTTAAAATCAATAAGTAGAAGACGCGCATTTATTACTTTTGCAAGGAGGCGTGTACTTATCACGGACCATTTAACCCTTTCACCGCGACGGAGTCGGCCGTTGCTCCGCTGTCGCTGTACGGAACCACGGGTGTGCATTTTACTGCGAATAGAGTCTCTCTTACTTTGTCGTGTTATGTAATTAATTTTTTCCTTCGAGTTATTTTAATCCGATCGGCAACAATTAATAGCATCGAACACGTTTAAATTTAAGACTCTTTTAACGCTTCCATAATTGCGTAATACTTTGATTATCGATTCGCGTATATGGATTTACTGTTCCAACGAGAAGCTGCGACAAATAATTGGTGCGCAGTTCACCGAGTTGAAAAAAGGTATAGAAGCTTCACACAGAAATATTATCAGACTACGGAGATCCGGCCCGAGTGTAAAAAAAATAGCATGTCCTCTAATTAATTGGATTTGCATCGACTATGCATCATGGCCGTTCGTACGTGGAAATAGCCTGGAGGGACGGCCACTGTAGCGGCCATTCGTGCGCAGAGACGGATCTGCGGAAGGTCACCTGGCAAAGCGGTCGTTAGCGAGAAGGTTAAATCGGCGAAACCGAGCCGACCGGACTAGTGACAGAGTCGAGTCCGCTCGCGAGCAAACGGAGACTCCCGCGTCTCCCGTTTGGAGACGCGCGGCGCGGATTCGGGCGCGAAAAACGCGGCAGCGACGCCGGTAAGGAGCCGGAGAGACTTGGTGGCGCGTCCGCGCTTGTCAGCCACGCGCGCCGCTAACAAGATTGCAGGGCTCGCTTCTCTCTCTCTCGAGGGAGAGAGAACGGGAGCGCGAGCGAGAGAGACGGGGAGAAGGGCGGGGTGGGAGGGAGAGGAAAGCGAGACTCAGGAACCACGTGGTGGCTCTCGTCAGCGAGGCCGGGGGCATGAATGAACGAACGTACGTAGTACGCGATACGGAAAATGGTGGTGGGGCGTAGGGACCAATGCCGATACGCGCGGTGTTGGCCGTGCGGCAAAACGCTGCTACTCCCTGCCTCTTGCAGACGCTCGCGGACTGCCAGACGCAATGGAACATTGTAGCAAGCGCGACGCGCACGTGACGCGCCGCGCGCGGCGCGGCGCCCGCGTCGAGAAGTCGCCCGATGCCGGGTAAAGGCCATGCCAGATCGGGGTCCGACCAGGCGAGCCGCGTCTCGGGCCTCGCGAGGTACACGCACCCACGGCTGATTGAGAGGAGCCCGGTGGCTCCCGTGCGCGAGGGAAAAAGCTCCAGGGTAGGTCTCCGCGTCTCATAAACATTCGCGTCGCTCGTATCGTTCTCTGCTTCGCAGTGGCACGCGATTCGCGAAGAAAGCCGGCGGATACTGGATCTCTCGCGAAAGCCAACAAGGATACAGAGTTTTAGATCAGGTGGATTAAGGCTCAAACCAGTAGGCAAAATAGTATCGCGTGCCGCTGGCTTAAGTTTAAACTGGACGGCAACGGGTTCTGTTGGCTAGCTCTGGGTATCCGGATGTCTCGCGTGTCCGAACGCTGCGGTTAATCCCCCGAACCCAGTTGATCTAGCTGGTTTTCACGCTGAGACTATCTGTACGATTCATTTCTTGCGCGACGTAATCTTCCGCGGTTCATGTTAGCGTTAGTCTCTCGCGAAGAGGGACGTGCTTGCGGCAAATTGCATCGATACAATCGATAGTACCAGGTCTACAAGGATAAACTTACCGAAGGTAAATTTGTTTAAGGCCGACTCCGCTGTTGATGCAACCGCCGGGCAGGTGAAACTGTTCGCATAACGACGCCCACTCATTTCTGGTATTGACCTGTAATGAATAAAAAAAGACGTGTAAGGATTATTCATGGACAAGACGATCAACGATTGCGGCTTGTGAAATTAATCGCGCTCGATAAAACTGCTCGTGTAGCACGTTCGCGTACTCCGTCCCGTTACTTCAAGCCCGGGAGCCTCGAAACTGGGAATAATTCAAGGAAACCCGCATTTACCGCGTCGAGATTTTTGCGACCCCGTTTCCCGTCGATCTACAGGCAATTTGTCAGAAAAGGAAATTCGACGTTTCTCATAAACTATTAAAAGAGAGTCTGAGTCGCCGTTTCCTCTCCCCTGCTCTCGTTTCTCGCGCGAGCTCTCGCCCCGTCCCTTGGAGATATCTCGAGAATTCTCGGTAGCAGGGCGGCACGCGAGATAAAACGTAGCGTGGCGAGACATAAATTTCTGCGGCAAGCTGAAAAAATAAACGGCGGTTCTCGAGTTACGTGCCGCGCGGGGAAAGTCCACGCGCGAATACACGACTCCGCTCCGGAAGTAGCGACCCTAATTTCAATAATGTTTTCCCTTTCGTCGGTTTGACGATTTTCCCCGAAACTAAGAGCTCGCGGCAGCGAGCTACGCCCGAGTGACGAGCGAAAGACGAGAATCGACCCCAAGCCCGCAAGAAGCGCGATTGCGAATGTTTGCAAAGGGACCGTCTCTTTAAGACTGGAACATGTTTCTTTTAATTGTTCACACCTGCGACACGGAGAAATCGTCGAAAGGCGAGCTCGCAAGTAAATCAAGACTCACATTTTGCGACGAAAATAAATGTTTATTGCACTCGCGTTTATTTCCGTGAATTACGCACGCGCGCGCAGAAGGAATCCGCGTGCTGCTTTCCTCTTTATCGGGCACTAAACATCGCGATCGTAAAGTTTACGATCCGTCCGTTAAGGGAAACAAAAGTGCAGGAAACAAGAGTGCGAATTTCGCGCTGTTTTAAATCCTTATCAATATAAATAGAAGACGGCAGGGAGAGAGAGTGTGAAAGTCTGTTGTTCGTATTACGCTTATATGTTTTAAATTCGCAAAAAGTAGACGTTTCGACCTGACATCAGGCCTTTATCAGTCCAAATGTGGTTAATAATCTTAGGCTGATGGCAGAGAACAATCCGTAAGCGCTTAAGGGTCAGAGCACAAAACGACGTAATCGCTTACGGCCAGAACCTAAGCGTAAACGTAGATTAACGCACAAGCTCTAGCGTAAATGTAACGTCATGTGTAATTGAAGTACGACATACGCCCAAGCTTGTGCACTAATCTACGTTTACGCTATTACGTTGCTTTGTGCCCCGACTGTCCTAAGTCGTAGACGTAAGGCAGAGAAAAATTGGAGTCGTATACAAGAGACTTTTTTACGACTTAAGTTTTTCCGTGCCTTGCCTAAGGGCCTGAGCAGAATGGCTGTCTTGTGCTTTTAAGACAGCCTTAAGACAATGCTTTATGTTTTTAAGCCTTTGTCTTTAGGTAACGCACAATAACTGTCTTATGTCTTAAGAGTACAAGACAGCCATTCTGCTCAGGCCCTTACTTTCCTAGTCGATCGCTCAACGGATTCTTGACGATCCCATTTACTTGAATTCTGAATACGACACAGGACAAGTCCAATAAAGTGGTTGTCCAATGAACGTGAATCTATATTTTTTATGAATCTATAATATTGTCATGAAACTATAATGTTTTAAAAAATTACGGATAAATCTGGTTGTTCAAACAACAAGACACTTTTGTAACGTCGAACGTATCTATAGTCTATAAATGTTAACGGGACAGAAAATGGACGCAAGTGAAAGGCCTTTATTCAGGTTTTCCCGTGGCAGTGACGCGCGAATCCGGGAGCAATTTCCGCGCGCGCGGAACTTGGCACGTGGTCTCTACGGACGTGACACGTGGCCACGGCGATGTAGAATCGCCGGCGGCAGTCCTGCGCCCTCAAAGTGCGCTCCAAGCGGCGACGGCGACGGAAGAGGAGGAAGAGAAGGAAGAGAAGGAGGAAAGCGGTTGGGGGCGGCGCAGGAGTCGTGGTTCGTAAAATCAGCGACGGCCGAGCATACTGGGTCAGTGCTCCCTGGATCGGCGCCCGTGTCTTCGCTCTATTCTGGTCGCCGTCGTCGCCGTCGCGACGCTCGTCGATGAATCGGGAACGTGGCGCCGCGCCGTGGACGACCGCAAGCGTCCGGTCGGGCGCGTTGCTCGGTAACCGGGTAATAATAGTTGACGAGAGACAGGACACGCGACCTGCGCGTATTTTAAGAACGCGGATGCAAAATGTCAATAATGCAGCGTGCGAGGAAATTACGACAAGGACATTAAGCTCGCTCGTCTGTGTCTTTGCGGGCTCTAGCAGGAAGACCGGTGGCAACGAGAATTTTGGTTCAAACGTAGCCTACGTTGCGGGAATTTTAAATGTCAAGCCGAGTACAAGATGTTTCCCAGCAACGAGACACGGTGCAGCAGAGTGAATGTTTAACGTTCGCAAACAACCAAGTTGAAACGAGCCACCGTGCCACAATCGTGTACCATTTGTGTCTCTTGCTGGAGAACGTCCACAATCAATGGACACATCAATCGTACCCGGCGCATTTAATAAGTATGCTCTCGCTTACATAAGCGATTATATAGCTCAACCTCCGCTTCGTTACATAGTTCGAAAGAATGGAAATGATCGATGATCAGTCGCTAGTCATAGAGTGTCCGTAAATATGGGCGTGCCAAACAACCATACCAAAATCACCCTTGCTCTTTGCGCGAAAGAAGTACACTATACGAAGCATACTAAAGACCTCTCGTCTTACTGTCGCTGTTAAAACCCCGAAGAAGTCTATCCGCGTGCGACACCGTCAGCTGCGCGAAAAGGAGCGAAAGCCTGATCGAGCACCTGCGGGTCAATTCTGTATCTGTAGTGAAAATGCTAAGAGTAGCTCCGTCTCTTTCTAACTGTACCCTAAGAAAGAAACAGAGCCGCTCACTCGTGGCGTTTTTACTATGTTGCAAAATACAGAATTGATCCCCTGACCTAACGCGCTCGCTCGCGAACCGATCTCATCGTGGTCTCCGACGCCGCAGCGGATCCGCGAGCCTACGCGCCAGGAAGAAACGCGCGGATGCACGCGCTGCGGAGGCGGCGCGTCCTTTTCCCGCCTAAGTTCGATCTACCGGGTGGGCGCGATCAGGTCGGTACCATCGCCGTCGCCACGAGGTCGTAATCGCGCGACTTTGCTCGACCTTGATGCAGCAATGCGAGCGGCACGGCGCGGCCGCGGCGCGTGCGACGCATGCGCGGCGCCGACCCGTTCCTCGGGAGCGTCGAACGACGCTGTCCACGTGGTTCGGCCGGGTACCGAGGCATACTGCATGATGAAAGTGTCTTCGGCACCACGTGGTCGTTGGGGTAGGACATGGTCCCTCTCTCCCCCTCCCTCTCTCTTGCACGCCCGCTCTCTCCCGCCCCCTCCCCCCCCCTCTCGCGGCTCGCTCGCTCGCCCGCTTGCTCGCGCTCTCTCCCCCCACTCTCGCTCGCCGAACACACGCTGCCGCAAACTCGCGCTGCGCCTATGACTCTCCCGCGTCTTCCGCTCTTCTTCTAGCGCGCACCTACAGTGGGGTTCGAGACACGAGGGGACGGCCGGTCGTCGATTTCGGTGGCTTCGACCCCTTCGGGGGGGATGCGATTCCGTCCGCGCGAACGCGCGTCTCGTCGATCGCTTTTCCCAACCCCTGCTTTGGTGAGATACCTTGGTATTTTCTTATCTCCTTTGTGCTCCTTTGCTATTAATCTCGCGGGGAAATTTAATCCTCAGGATCGTCAAGCGAGATTAAGCTCAGGTCGAGCTTACTCTCCGAGAATGGAAGGGGTGGAGCGTCTCGTCGCTGCAACTTGTTCGAGCAATTCATCATCGCGTTAGGTCGCGGAGGAAGGAATTAATTCTGATACCCTCTCTTACGTAAGGAAATCCTCGCTCGGCAACAGAATTTATACGTGGCTCATCTCGGCGTCGTGTTCCACGGCGCGTTAACGTGTCGGCGATAGCTTATGCATAAACACAACGCGACGCGGGCCGCCGAACACACGCGTGATTGTAAAGCGAGTGCCATTAGAATTCCGGACGGTGGCGTTTCCTCAAGTGACGGCAGTAATAACAATCAGCTTCTTAAAAGTATCTTTCGGAATTTAGAAAGCTCGGTGACTCATCTCCAATCATGCTAATGCCAACCCCAGACTTGTTTCGAAGACGCACGTCCCGATGACTGAACATAAAAAAAAATGCGAGATGCCAAGGCGCGTCTCGCCTGCTTCGAAAATTGGCAATATTCGATAGGGCTCTCTCTATCCAGAAGGGACTCGTTAAGGGCCTCGAGAATTCCGCGAGTCTGTGGGGAAAGAACTTGGAGCAATTACACTAATATTTGAAAAGTGGGACGCTAATCTCCTCCAGGGGATTAACAATTGTAATATATCGCCACGGAAACACCGCCGCTCGTCGATTATGCACGCGCTTTTGTAATAGGCTTGTTGCTCGCAGTTGATTACAGCGAGAATCGCGGCGCGTATCGTCATTGGATATCGATGGGAGCGGAGGAACAATGGGCTGATTATCGCGATTGAATGCTAAACCGAGGCTTTCAGCTCGATTAAATCTCGCAGATTAGGATATCGCGCCTCTTAACGGAATCAACACCCGATGTGTACACCTGCGGTTATTAGAATATTACAAAAATTCGTTGATCCAATATTTTCCGGCGAGCAACGTCGTTACCTCGCGGAAAGGCGCATGACGCGGTAATGCTTTTATTCTCATCACGTCTCCTCGCAGCGAGGCCGCATAGAGGGACGGAATCAATGCGAAAAGCGTTTAACGAGATGTCGTAATTAACAATACTACGCTTGTCAATTCGAGAAGGCCGGAGCACGGGCTGGAGCACGTAACTCGAGAATCCATCCTTTCCCGATAGCAGTGTTTCATTACGCGAGAGAAACCGGATTACCACTAG